AAGTTATAAAAAGTAATAATAAATAATTTCTTGATTCAGTTCGAATGACTTCATATTTTTCAACAAGACATCCACTTTGTAAAAAAATTAAGAAATTAAGGATCCGTTTGGCATTACTTTTGTTTTTGCTTCTTGTAGAAGAGTTTTTGAAGAAATCTATCTTAATTTTTATTTGGAAATTAATTTTTTAAAGCACTTTTTATTTCATTAGTGTTTTTTGAAGAAGTCACATTGAAACAACTATCCTAAATAATAATGGATGTCATGTAACAACTGCACGTATCCCACGCTAACAACACTAATATATGAATCATGCTACATGTACAATATTTGTTGACAATGTCTTATTTGACATCATTATATCCATCCATTTTAAAAAATTGTTTTCTACATCACATATTAGGATTTTGACAACACATAATTGTCAACCAATGTTGTACACTGAGATTTATCCCTAATATATATGTGCACTATTAACACCGACGGATTTAGGGGGATTAGGCCGGGTTGTAGTCCGGTCCATTATTATTATTTTTTAGTGTAAAAAAAATTCTTGTACAAAATTTTTTTTATGTGTAAATTTATTTTTTTCTACGTATTAGCTCAACTTGTAGTTCGATGATGCATCGGTCTCTGATGGTTAAGCAAATCACTAATGCATTAATTAGTAACTAATATCACTAATTAACTTCCTAGTCCACTAAATGCAACTTATACATAAAATTTGGACTCCTTTAGTACAAAAAATAACTAATAAATTAATGAATAACACACAAAAGACCCACTAAGAAACTTCCAACATTCTCCCCATCTAACTGAAAATTTATAAAAGTTCAGTTAAAGAGTCTTCTCGTTCGCAAACTCCAAGCAACTTCTGTTATTTATGAAATGTAGCGTGTTGGTCTTAGAATCAAAGTTTGTATACCAAAAATAATAGTAAGATAAAATTGCATAAAAGAAAAACACACAGATTTTTCACCCCTTAGAGCCCGAATGTTCAGTTGGAAAGCCTACTCACTCGTTGAGCATCTACAAAATAGATTATACTCGAATCCACTAAAAACAACAAAGAATAGCACAGAATGTGTGAAGAAATCACTTAAGTTTTCTTTCACCTCTCTCACACAAAACCCTCTTCCGACAACCTCTAAATTGTACACCAAATATAATCTAACAATATCACTAAGATACATATATCAAAACCAGAAGATCACAAAGAAAATGAAGAGATCTAAACACTTAGAGAGAAGACAAAAGAAACGCTAGAATATACACCACTACAGTACAATCGAAGAGTCGAGAAGGGGGTTATAAAAACCACCCTTAAAGCATTTCATCCAACAGTCCTGAATATACCACATGTAAGGCCAAGATTAATCAATCCATTTAAAAAGCAAATAACTCGGTGGCCCAATAACACGGCAAAGCCCAATGACAAATGAAGAGGCCCAATACCAGAATAGAGAGGCAGCCAACAACAATATCCACCTTGCTGATCTATTCTTGATATTCTTTTTGTGGATTCGAGACATAACTTCCCTTGTTTCATTTGCTCTAAAGTTCTTGTAAAAG